CTCTCTCTCTCTCTCTCTCTCTCTCTCTCTCTCTCTCTCTCTCTCTCTCTCTCTCTCTCTCTCTCTCTCTCTCTCCTCACTTCTACTCTATCATTTTTAATCCTAAGAATGTCCCTGCGCAACAAACGCCCAAGATTTTGAATTAGAAGAGTCAATGGTGATGAAGCCACTCGAGCATTAAAGAACTTCAAGAGGCCGAATAGTGTGAGATCTGCAAAATCAATAGTGCGATCTGTAAAAAAGTGAATTCATATTACTTAAAAAAAAAATCTTCCGCATCAATTCAGATCATACACCAGTTCGCGTTGTCTGCTTTTTCAGTTTTAAAGCAGAAGTTTTGTAAAGATAGAAGCTGGAGAGGTAGAAGACGATCTGGGAGGATTCAGAAAAAAAAGAAGCTATTTTGTCTGAAAAAGTCCAATTTCAAGGTGACATGGCACGAGGAAATGTTCTGATTGGTTAAATATTTTATCCAACGTCGATAGTTTCATTTGGCTGCATATTCAACTTTTAATATTGTTTGATACCAAAAGCCTCTATTTTGATACTATTAATAATTAATTGTTACTCTCTTGTACCTATATATCTCCTATGAACATTACTATTTGAAATAGACAAAAGTTTGTTAAAAGATTTTGGAAGATTTGGTTCTTGTACTCATATCTTGCTTTAGTGTCAGAGCAAGCATAGTTCTCTATCCCCTATTTCTTTGAGTATTGCCAAATAATTTGAAATTAGAAATCATTTTTTCTCTCTCTCCATTAATCCACAACATTTTTTTTGTAATTAAAATCAGCATATTTTCGTCTATATCCGTTCTAATTTCTGTTTACACCTTATTTTGAAAACGTTGAGAGTATTGTTAACCAAATAGTTCTTCGATTTGAGCTTAGAACATATCTTTTCTCAATAGGAATCTCGTGCTTTTGATAATATTATTTCTAGATGAAGAAAATTTCAAAGAGAAACAAAATTATTTCTAGATGGAGAAAATTTCACTGGAGTTGTGTTTTCTGGTGATAAATCCCCATGCACTGTACCAGTAAAACTGCTGAATCTTAAGATCTTCGTCTCTTGTTTCTGGTTAGTAATGATTCTTCCAAATCTAAAATCTCTTCCTTTTTGTCGTTTTCTATATTAGGTTTGTAAATGAAATGATACATACACACACACTCGTGTTCTGTATCTCTGTCTTGAGATTATTACAAAATAACGTGTTACAGTTAAATGGCTTAGAGATTTTGTTTGATTAATTTAGTTGACAGTTTTTGGCTTTTTATAAAGTATAAAAAGATTTGTTTGGAGTTAAAGAATTGTATGAATGATGGATATGGAAAGATTTTCTGAGCTTAAGAGACCTCTCTAGTTCTCCTACTAACGTCTTCTCTCAACAAGACAATACTTAGAGTTGGATACTAGAGAAATGAGTGTGCATTTGAGGGAACAAGTTGCTTGATACAACAAAGCAGTGAATCCCACAATGACGTTAGGGAGAGAGCTAATCCAAGTTCTGAATGTGCATAGAGAAGATATGGTGATGACGATGATGAGGGGTCACTTCAGCGGTGATATGAATGATTTTCAAGAGCTTGAGCTTGTAGTAAGTTCCATGATGAAATCAAAGTATCCTTTAGTGGAGATTGAAGAGGTCTTGGCTGGTGATGATGAAGCAGGCTCTAGCTCATGTCGTGGTGTTAGTCATCCTCCAGGGACTGACGAAATGGATATTATAACAGCTGTATGTGCCTACTATCGATGAAAAAAGCAAACATGATTTAGTTTGTTTGATGAAGAGCATGTCTACTCCTAAAGGACCTTTCCTTGAGGATCTCTCGCTAAAGCCAAGATAAGCAGAGAAACCTGCAACATCTCTATTTAAATTTCTTACGAGCTCGCAAAATTGTTAGCCGTAAATTTGTTTAAATGGATAGTCAGAAAAATTATTGTACCATAACTGTGAATTCCGGATAACTGAAAGTTAGATTTCTCATTATCGTTAACATGCTATCAAACAAGATACACATTCAACTACAAAGGAATTTCGACTTATGGTTAAAACTATAATGTAACGGTATCATAACTTATAACTAATATTATTATTGACAAGTCCATTAGTTCTGTTAACCATCCAAAAAATGTGGTAACAGCCAAACTTGTACATATTAGGTTAATTTGTTACATACACAGTTACAAGTAAGTTTAACTGTGCAAAACAATCCTTAACCACACTAAAATTTTATATAACAATATTCTCAAATCAAAGAAAATAACGGCGTCCAAACACCATCGACCGTTACAAAAGGTTTAGCTTCCCAAGAACAAACTGAACCAGAGTTAAATTTTATAATAACTCTCTTCCACGATCCAAAAACATAGGTTAGACACATGGGTGGATTGGCAATTAGTAGACGGTTGTAGTTTAGATAGTTCTGCAGTCCAATTCCTACAAAGAATAAGAATAGAAATGTGATGAACATAACTTACAATATCTAAGGAAAATAATGCATAACAATATTTTCCTTCTAAATTTATATTTACATGGATATCTTTTTTTATTGACTGTCCAATTGTATTACTTAGATAATATGTACCAATCGCACCGCCATAGATGTACCAATCCACCTATCTCCTGAGATCCAAAGAAAAATAATTATTTCTCAAATTTTGAACAGACTGAAAGGCTATATACAGCTCTTGCAAACTACTATGTGAAAGAACGTATATTACATAGGGAAAATTTAAGAGAACTCATTGTCTGTAAATGCAACCACGTACACTATTAAGTATCATTTGCCATGTATGTAATGCAACTCCAGTCACCACTAGAGTAAATTTCTAAAACTATTGTCCAACTAATAAATATTGTAGCTGGTCTACCAAAATTATTATCTGGCTACTATTATATTTACACGTCCAACTAAATATTTAACAATAGCGAAAATGATTACCTTCTTGGCTTTGTTCTTAATTGTGCACCCCCTCCCCCATCGTTTCCCCTTCCAAGATTTTGATGATAGCCTAAATTCGGTGATTTGATGATAGCCTAAATTCGGTGATTTGATATTTGTATGGTTTCAACTTTTTATTATATTTGTTGGAATAAGATTATGATGGTGAAACATATCTTCTTCGGTTTGTATATTCATTAGGAGGATGAGAAAATTTTGACAACGAAGACAGAGATAAAAGAAAAGAAGACAATGATAGAAAGAGCTAGAAGGAAGATAATTGTTTTTGAAAGATAATTCTTTTTCTTTTGTTGTATGTTTAAAATAAAAAAATCTTTAGAAGATTATCAAATTCAGTAAAATATTAAACAAATTCCATAGGATATATTGTGTCAGATGTGTCAGCTACTAAGCCTACCTCTATTCTATCTGGAAGTCACTAAGCTTCAAGGTTACTCTCGCCTTTCTCATAGTGTTCATTATGACACGTATGCATAACTTTTTATGTGTTGGTACTTAGCTAATTTAGTCATCTTCCTTTGTTTTAATCCAATTAGCTCTCAAATATATAAATTAGCTAGAAAATGAAAATGAATTTAAAATTTATTTGATTAGATAAATTATTAAAATTAATAAGAATTTTCTAAAATTTAAAATATATTTTATTTTAAATGATAATATATATATATATATATATATATTAATAAACAAATTTTACTTAAAAACAGAAAAATAAATATTAATCTAGTAAAATTTTTAATTTCATATAATTGAAAAAAAGAAACTTGAATATTTTCTGAAGCTTTAAACAAAGCACAAAGCTCAGCTGCCATTTGGATCAGGGAAACTGAGAAATGAAACGTTTCAAAAGTATTTTTTTAATGTTGGATAATTATAATATTACAAATTATGAGAAGTATTGTAAGACTAAAATTAAAAAACAGAAAATACATACATATTAATCTAGTTTTTTGTAATATTTCTCATAATTTGTAATATCATAATCATCCAACATTAAAAAAAGACTTTCAAAACATGTCGTTCCTTAGTTTCCCTAATCCAAATGGCAGCTAAGCTTTGTTTAAAGCTTAAGAAAATATTCAAGTTTTTTTTTTGATTGAATATCAAATTTATTGATAAAAATGGTTCATTTATAAAGGAGGAGAAATATAAAGTAGCCTTAGAAGAGGCAAAAAAAGAAAGAATATGTAACTCCTATAATTATAAAGAAGTTTGAAACAAACGCCTAAGCAACCCCTCCATTGAATGTCCCATTGTGTAGTGAAGAGAGGAGATACAGTTCTGTATGTGTTTGTCAATAGATCGTGTAAGCATCTCCACAGTGACCCAGACTCCTCCATGGTGACGAGAGTTCCTCTCTTTCCAAATAGCATAGACGGTTGTCTGAAAAATCATCTTCCGAAGGACTGAATCTATGCGATTCTGAACTGGTTTCAACAATGCAACAATCATATCATCCCAATCAGGCTTGATGGTCTCTCTCAGGAGCTGCTCTGCTATGTTCATCCAGACCATAAAAGAGTAAGGACAAGCAATATACAGATGGTCCCTGGTCTCATTCACTCCCCACATAACATGCATCCTTGTGTAATTCCCCAAGACTTCATCCTATCACCAATGGATAATCGATTTGAGAAAGTAAGCCATACCATAAATGAGTGGCGAGAAACAGCCTGACTAAACCATAGTTCGAGAAAAGCACCGATCGTTTCTTACTGGTCCGGTTCGCACACGGAAGTCTCGAATCCCACTCACCTGCACAAGACGCGACAAGGTCATAAAATAACGAAACAAGAAAAGAGGGGGGGGGGGAAACACATGAAATTCGGTGTCT